GAGGATATGAACAGCCGCATCCCAGTGAGATGAGTATGGATCATTCACAAACTGACTGAGTTGCTGCACTGCATAGGTAACATCAGGTCTAGTCATGCCCAAGTAAAGCAACCTGCCTATGAACCTTCTGTATTGATCTGGATTGATGAGTGGTGTTCCATCTTGACTTTGAAGATGCAGGCCATGAGGTAAAGGTGTGGCTGCACCCTTGCAATCCAGCATATGCAGATCCTCAAGCATGTCCAAAACATATTTTCTTTGACAAAGGAAAGTGCCAATGTGATCCCTTAAGATCTCAACACCAAGAAAGTATGTGGCTTCCCCCAAGTTCTTTATAGTAAACTCAGCATCTAAATAGGATTTAAGTTGAGAGATAAGATCTTCACTTGAACTGGTCACTAGCATGTCATCTACATACACCAAAATTGCAAGAAAGTGGTTACCTCTACTAAGTGTGAATAAGCAGTGGTCATTGGCTGACTGAATTAGTCCAAAGCAGGAGAGCTTCTTGCATAGTTCATTGTTCCATTCTCTAGAGGCTTGTTTAAGCCCATACAAACTTCTAACCAATTTGCATACTTGTCCCTTTGCTGTCTTAGTGTACCCTTGTGGAGGTGTCATGAAGACTTCTTCAGCAATGTACCCATGTAAGAAGGCATTGTTGACATCAAGTTGGTGCAAAGGCCAGCCATGCACTGTAGCTATTGCAATGAACATTCTAACTGTAACCAACTTAGCCACTGGTGAAAAAATATCAAAGTAGTCCACTCCAGCCACTTGGTTGTAACCCTTTGCAACCAATCTTGCCTTAAATCTCTCTACAGTCCCATCACTTTTCCTTTTTATTTTGTAAACCCACTTGGAACCTATAGGTTTCTTTCCTTCTGGTAACTCTGTGAGTTCCCAAGTACAATTTTCTTCAAGAGCTTCCAGCTCTCTTTGCATGGCATCAACCCAAGCAGGATGTTTGCATGCTTGTTGATAGTGAGTGGGTTCCTTTTCCATGTTCACATTTGTCATGAAGGTAAGGAAATGTTCAGTGGTTGTTGGACTTTGTGCCAGTGCCTGGTTACAAACATAATCTGCCTGCCATTTAGGTGGTTGTCTGATCCTCTCACTTCTTCTTAGGTTTACAGGCTGTGTGTGTTCCTCAAGGACTTCTGATGTGGTATCAAGTGAATCCACCTCTGATGGCTCAGTGTTTTCTTCAACTACTGGTAAGGGTATCTTCTCTTCTTCAGCCAAGTTATTCCTTGCATAGGGAAAAGTTTGTTCCAGGAATATGACATCTCTTGATACAAGCATTGTCTTAGATTCCATGTCATAGAGTTGAAAACCTTTCTTCCATTGACATAACCAAGAAAAATGCATTTAGGACCTCTCTTGTCAAATTTAGTCTTTTGTGGATCCACACTAGCTGCATAGGCCAGACATCCAAATGTTCTTAGGTTATGATATTCTGGTGCCTTGTTGTACATCTTCTCAAAAGGTGCCTTCCAACCAAGTACAGAACTAGGCATTCTATTAATGATGTAAGCAGCTGCCAATATTGAAAAAGGCCAGAACTTCAAAGGAAGATGACTTTGGAACATTAGAGCCCTTCCAATGTTCAATAAGTGTCTATGTTTTCTTTCTACTACTCCATTTTGTTGTGGAGTATATGTACAGCTTGTTTTATGAATGATGCCTGCCTCACTGAAAAATTGTTGCAGATCTTTACTTAAGAATTCTTGTCCATTATCACTTCTGACTCTCTTGACCTTGCAGTCAAACTGTGTTGCTGTCATGGTAATAAACTTCTTTGTCAAACCAACAGCTTGTGACTTGGTACTCATAAGGAATACCCATGTCCCCCTTGTGTAATCATCCACCAGAGTCAGGAAGAAAGGAGTATTTGTGAGATTCTTTCCATGGCAAGGCCCCCAGATATCTATGTGCAATAACTCAAAGGGTTTTCCTGTCTGTATTGTGCTGTTCTGAAAAGGTAATCGATGCTGTTTAGATTTGAAACAAACATTGCACTCCTGAATTAGAGCTTTACCCTTTTTGTCACTATCTCTTTCAGAAAAGAAAAGTGTCTCATGGTAGAAATAGAGGGATGTCCCAGCTTCTTATGCCACTCTTCCATAGACAAATTGCAGAATATTTTGGTCTCATCCCTTTGATTGTTCTGAAATATGTATAAGTTCCCTTTCAAGTGCCCCATTCCCATTACTTGACCACTCTTCTGATCTTGCAATACACAGCTTGTGGTTGTGAAAGAGCACTTCAGGTTATTGTTGATGCACAATTGTACCACTGAGATTAGATTGTATTAGAAAGATGGCACATAAAGCACTTCTTCTAGGATTATATTGTCACTCAATTTGACCATACCCCTTTTCTCAACTCTTTTTAGGGTTCCATCTGGCAAGCAAACATTTACTGGCTGACCAAGGGGTTGTAGTCCTTGGATAAGCTTGATTTCTAAGCAAATATGCCTACTGGCTCCTGTATCAATGATCCGCTCACCTTCCTGAGACTCATTCACTGTTGATAAAGCAAAATGAATGTTGTCATCCTTGTCCTTTCCTGTAAAGTTGACAAACTGTGCATAATCCAGATTGCTGTCCATATTTTCCTTGCCTTTAATGTACTGAGTAAGGTCATTCAGCTGTTGGATTATAGAACTGAGATCAGTTGGCTCATTGCCCCTTTCATTTAGCTTCTTCCTCTGATCCACCAATTCTGAAACTTCAACATTATATGCATGGGTGTTCCCTTGCTGCTGTTTGAAATCTTTGTACCATTCTGGCACTCCATGGATTTTGAAGCATGTGGTTATATTATGTCCTCTCATCCCACATTTTTCACAAATGAGTTTTTGTCTTCCTTTGTGAGTCTAAGATTTCCTCTTCCTTTACTGCTCCCCCACTGTCCTCCTCCTCTATTAGGTGTGTAAGTTCCTCTTCCATAACCATCTGCCTTTGCTGCCAAAACTGCATTGTCTAACCTCTCACCATATAGATTCTGCACTGAATTTTGTCTCTCAGCTGTGAGAGTCATAGAATAGGCTTTGTTGACAGTAGGTAGAGGTTCCAATAACATAATTTGATTCTTCAGATTATCAAAGCTGTCATTGAGTCCCATGAGGAATTGTATGAGCTTAGTCTCAGATTCATGTTGAGCAACCTGTTTTCCCTTTACACAATCACAGATTCTCATAGGTGCAACACATGCATATTCATCCCAAAGCTTCTTCAGTTAGTTGAAATAGTCCATGACTGTATCATTGCCCTGACTAAGACTTGTAATTTCCCTCTGTAACTTATACTTCATAGGACCATTATTTTCACCATATCTTTGACATATTTCTTCCCACAACTCTTTAGACGATTCAGCATACATGAATGATTCAGCAATATTTTTTGACAGAGAGTTCAAAATCCAGGAGAGTACAGTCCAATCTACCTTTTTCCATATAACGTACATCTCATCTCTTTCATCTGGTTTCTCAATTTCTCCATTAATGAATCCAATTTTTATTTTCGCACTGAGGGCAATTATCATTGATCTCTTCCAAGTAAGAAAATTACTACCAGTTAAGGGATGCGTAACCAGTACCATACCAGGGTGATCAGAACCGTGTAGAAACAAAGGATCCTGCTCTTGAAGCTTCAATGCTGGTGCAGTGTTGGTGTTGAGCAGTGGCCAAGCTTCATTTCTTCTTTGCGCCATTGTTGAGGTTACTCGCAGCTTAGATTTTCAGACCAGTTAGAGATCGTTGAGGGTGATGATTCGCAGCGTGAACCAACAAATCGATGCTTTGAAACTCGGATTCAAGCTTTCAGGTTCCAGAATCGTTTGCTCTAGATACCATGTTGAAACTTAGATTTCAAGGTAAGATATTTTGGGAACAAATTTTTATTTCTCTTAGCTCAAAATAGAAAAGGTGAACAGTGATGACCTAAATAGGTCTCATGCACGCGTCCCACATGCAGTGCCAAAGCGACACCGTTTTGGCCAAAGTAAAAACCACACTCCACTTACAAAGGCGTGAACACGCTTTCTACCAAAGCTATTTACAGAAAACAAAAGAAAGGAAAATAAGAAAATGAAAGCAACATGTTAAAACCTGCACATATGCAGGCCTTTATAGCACTCCACTTTGCGTGGTCGAACATAGTCGAGCACCATTCCAACACACCTATTCATTCCTAGGAGGTTTCTATTCAATTTTGGTCGACCAGACATGTCTAAAAATGTGTCTTTTGATGTCTTTAACCCCTGGAGATGTATTAGAACATCTATAAATTCTCATGAAGTAAAGTTGTTTCATACATAGAATTTTCAAGAGCTCTTGCATTTTATTTTCAAAATTCATAAAACATATTGTGTTCTTTGATTTTTCCGTTGAGTCTTGAGAGTTCCAAACAATAGTATTGTTCGCCGAAAACTTGTATATTTAAAGTACCGCTATATATAAGTCGAAAGTCGTTGTATCTTGGAGGCGTTTGCTGTTAACCGTCAGTACTTTACGGACAATTTCGTGTTAAGGAGAACGTAATTATTACGTTCATCGACTTTGATTTTTGTTTCGTTTTCTTCATTATCCTTAAGTCGTCCTTTTTATATTCACAAACTACACAAACTACAATATTATGATGAGAATTATAATAGATATACTTGTTATGTGTATTTTGATAAACATATAAACAATTTTT